ATTTTTATTTCTAGGATAAAAAATCTCCTTATCCCTTGGGTCAATTTAGGCGTGCAAAATCCACTTCCATGATAGAACTTTTTAAAGACTGTAAAGATAAAGAAAATACTCCTCCCAGATTGTCAACATATGCTTCCCCGTCTTACTCTCCTTTATCTGATCAAAGCCCTCTTTCTAGTCCGTTGAAACGGATGGCAGAATCTCCAATTACTCAATATTTTAAACGTGTTGATATCTCGAAAACTGTGATTAAAAGTACTGCCATAAAATCTACTCCTATAAGATCCGGTGATGTCGTAAAATCTACTCTTACAAGGTCCGGTAATCTTGCTGCTGATGATGATGAAGATGGTTATGATGAATTGACGATTAATTCTACTCCTTGCAATGATTCAACTAAAAAAAATTTAATCTCTAATGATTTAAAATCTAAAGAGAATGATATGTTGATCTCTCCTGCTCCGAATTTTATGGCTTTTAAAAAAGAAAAAGTAACAATATCAGCTAATGTTTCCGCTCTTCGTCATGTTTCTAAGAATCACGTGACTCCTCCTACCAAAAGTGGAATCAATGGATATTTCCATAAAGTTAGAGGAAAACATAAAAAGGTTTCAAGATATATTACTGAAGATAAATTACATGATGTATCACCGGAAACTCTTCGTGTTTTTGCGGCTGCTCGTGGAGGAGATATTTCACTATTTAGAGAGTATGCTATGGAGAATGTATGTACACACACATATATATATTTAATGTTATTTATTATTTTAATTAAATATCTTAATTACTTTTAATTATTCGATATAGCCCTTTATTGTCTGAGATAGGGTTGCGACCCAAACCTTTTTTTTGAAAAGGTTTGGGAATTGGAATTTTCTACTATTTTTACTTCATTTTAGATAATACCCAAATATGTCTTACTTTCGGCTAATAGTGATCAAATGCTATAACAGTCTATGTTAAATAAATAATTATATAGAGAATACAAATAAATATTAATTGCTTAATTAAAAAAAGTAAAATTATCGATAAAAAAAAATATATATATCGATTTTTTTATATACTTGGTTAATTGAATTAATTGTAGAGGGAAATTAAGATTTTAATAATCTAAAATCGTATTAGATATTTGGTCGATCCTACCAGTGGTCATATGCTTGTCCCAAAGATTATACCATGGATATCTAAATATAAATCGTTTATATAGATGAAAAATTGAAACACGATAATGATATGATATCTTTGCTAATCGGTTTAAGTCTTAAATTCATAACCAGTTGTAGTAAGTCTAATTAATTTTTAGAAAACTCGATCCAAATTCATACTTTAAAAGTCTTTCGAAAAAAACTTTTTTAAGATTAGTTTAATGTCAAAAATTTGGGCGTTCTAATCTCTCCCCCCCGCCATTTACACTACTTCACTATCAGAGTGGATTAATAATATAAAATACTCCGTTAAGTGAATTATTAGTACAGCCCAATTAAATTCAAAAAAATTTTTTTTTGCGATATTCTATTCTAATCCCAAACTAGTAAGTTACTAAGTTTTGGTAGCAATTCTAAGTCTATTTTTTGCGTAAA